AGGGTCTCGTGGAGATAAGGGGGAGAAAAAAAAAAAAAAAAAAAAAAAAAAAGAGGATTTGTTCCTTTGATTTTATCACCAAGTATTCGTTGTGCTTGTGAACCAAAGCGCAGCCTGCTCCGGCACCTGGAGCACCTCCTCTCCGTCCTTCTCATCGCTGGGTGTCCACGCTGCTGTTTCTCGCTCCCTGCCACCCCGCGCTCCTTTGCCTCTCTGGATTTTTGCCCTTTCTTAAGTGTTTCCCCAGAGCAGCCACCAGCTGTGGCCAGCCCGGGTCCGCATGGAGCTGGTGTCTGGCTCGGGGCCGTCCCAGGCCTCTTCTCACAGCGGCCACCCCTGCAGCTCCGCTGCTCCCGACACCTCGCCACCGACACCGAGAGGGTTAGTAAGAGCCCAGCAGCAGGATCTGACAGTTGAAAGTGGCAGCAGAAAAAAGCCTTTCCGAACTGGCAGTATTTTCGGGAGTGGGAGCAGATGTACAGCCTGCAGATGTACCTTTGTATGTTGTAACGTACAGCTACAAAGGCTGTTGCGTGTGTTCCCTTTTCTTTCAGTTGCCATTGCTGCAAATGGATTGCAGCTGGCCAGCCCAGGTACAGATGGCGTGCAAGGTCTGCAGACGCTAGCAATGACAAACGCTGGCGGTACGCAGCCTGGGACAACAATACTGCAGTACGCACAAACGTCAGATGGGCAGCAGATACTCGTACCCAGCAACCAGGTGGTAGTGCAGAGTGAGTACGCCTTCTGGAAACCGTTAGAAATACCCATCGCTAACGCGAGTGTAACTTTCTAACGCTACCGTGTTTCGATGTCTTATGCTATTATCGCAACAGCTGCGTCGGGAGACATGCAGACTTATCAGATCCGCAGCACGCCAACCACCACGTCCCTTCCTCAGACTGTGGTGATGACATCTCCTGTCACTCTGACGTCGCAGACGAGTAAGACGGACGATCCGCAGTTGAAACGAGAAATAAGGCTGATGAAGAACAGGTACGTTAAGTGCACGTGGGCTGCTTTGATTTGCTAGTTTTATGTGCTGAAGTATATCTTCAAAGGACAAATTACGAGTCTTGCAAGGTAGCTTTACAGATTGTGCTGCATCCAGCGACTAAAAACGTTGGCAGTTCTGACCAAAACGCATTACGTGTTCTGTCTCACACAGTTTGGAGAAAAAAAGTTGGTTTTTCCCCGCTGATTGACTACCACGTGTGTTACCAGATACCGCCAAATTTCATGCTCTCCACCTATCGTGGCGTACTTTTCAGTTTGTTTTGTTCATGACTGCAGTGCCAGCTCTCTCCTCTCACACTGGTCAGAATCGTAACATTCATAAAACAGACACATCTCAAATCTAAAATGAACGGCTACTTCTGCTTGTCTGTTCCAGAGAAGCTGCTCGAGAATGCCGTAGAAAGAAGAAAGAGTACGTTAAATGCCTGGAAAATCGAGTTGCGGTCCTGGAAAATCAGAACAAAACTCTAATTGAAGAGTTAAAAACTTTGAAAGATCTTTACTGTCATAAAAGTGTGTAAGAAAAGAAGGTAAAACTTTTGTGGACTGTTTAAATTTCAGAGGATAATTTTTTTTTTTTTATACTGAATTTTTTAAACTAGATGAAAGGTCAAAAATGAAACTTTTCTACCTAGATTTCACAACTTAAAGACTATATAGATTTTATTTACAACATGTTGGTGACAAAGTACAAAAAGGAAACAAGAAAACCTCA